GCCAAATTACCAATTTCCAATCACTATTTTGTAGTTGAAACAGTTGACTGGGCGATTTCTTGTGCTCATTCTATAAAATAGTGTAATACTAGTGAAATAGCTAAGAATCTGGTCGGCTGGAATAATGTAATTGACCTAAAATTGGAGTCAAAGTCGGTAAAAATTGCCGATTAGTAAATATCGCTGACACATCAGAATTCACAAGAGCATAATTTCATCAATTTTCCATCAAATTTCGTACTTTTTGTTTTATTACCTTCAGAAAAAGATTCTCTACCATTTCATAAGAAAAAATAAAAATTTTTTTTGGAAAATTCTTGGACACTGGTGCACCCTTTGAAATTTGGCCTCTGGACCCTGAAAGGGTTAAACAATCATGGTGACATCACACATCCTTGTCTAAGGCCTACTTTTACTGGGAAATAATCTCCCTCTCTCCTACATACTCTAACCTGAGCCTCACTATCTTCATAAAAACTCTTCACTGATTTCAGTAACCTACCTCCTATACCATACACCTGCAACATCTGCCACATTGCCCCTCTATCCACCCTGTCATAATAATTAAATAAACATTATTACTGAATGCAGATACCTACTGTACAGTTGTTTTACCACCAGACAACAAACTCAAATGAAAAACTCTGAGGAGGGAGGATACGAAGTAACTTTTCCAGGGACTGCTTAACCTTGAAGTGAGCTACTGCATCTGTATTCGAAACTAATTAGATAATTAGTGTCCAGCTGTTAAGGTGGCAGGCCAGATGAAAACCTCACACAGGCCAGGGTTGCCGACCCTTGGTTTAAGGCATTTATGTCTATGGAAATCGGGTTCTTTGATCACTAGTCAGGCGTTGTTGAATTTCAAGAGGTGATTGGTGGAATTCCAGTAGCGTACACAGGTGTTGTTAAAGTTATCGTTCCTATGTGCATTAATGTGTTAATCGAGACGTGTTTCGAGGTTTCTTCCTGTTTCACCCAAGTACAGTGGAACCCCGGATTTCGTACTTAATCCGTTCCAGAAGGTCGTTCTAAATCTGAAATAATGTAAATACAATTAATCTGTTTCAGACACCCAAAAATATTAACAAAAAAATACATTTTTTAAAGTATAACTATAGTTTTACTTACAGAAAACAATGAGAAATAAATATAAAGCACTAATGAAATGAATAAATGAACATTTAAATCACTATTACATACCTTTATTGAAGACTCTTGTTGGGAGGAGTGTGTTTGGAGACAGGACAAAATACTTAAATATGACACGCTGATATCAACTCTATGACTTATTTATCTATCACAATTCATCTAATATGACATAATACACAACATTATTAACACAGAAACATGATACAAACTCTACAATGGCAGCAAAGGCCACCACTACTATTCGCACAAACAATGTACGTAATTTATAAATAAGAAATATTTACACTTACCTTGGAGGAGATGATGGCATTGGTTTAGGGTGGTGGAAGATAAGCAGGGTGGCATATGTTGTCAGTGGCCCTATATACCTCCAACAACACTGGAGGAGTTTTGTGTCGTCCTTTTTCTATTGCTTAATAGCTTAACTTACCTGCTACACTGTTAATGCTACACTTTATCGCTGGCTGGCACTGTAGCCTTTATCGACTCCTGCTGCTTTAGTATCATACATACCGTAGAATCACTGAAGAAGACGCATTCTCCCCTCTCTCTCAGCCCTTTACCAAAGGGACTAGGAATTTTCTTTGGGCCCATGGTGGCTTATTTCGCAGTCACAATCAATAAACAAGCACATAAAATGGCGAAATGTTTCGGATGAATGCTCACTCAACCAGTGACAGAGCCAGACCGAAGTGGCATCCCGGCGGATGGACATGTCTGATACCTGGAGTTTACCTGGAGAGAGTTCTGGGGGTTAACGCCCCCACGGCCCAGTCTGTGACCAGGCCTCCTGGTGGATCAGAGCCTGATCAACCAGGCTGTTACTGCTGGCTGCACACAATCCAACGTACGAGCCACAGCCCGGCGGTCAGGTACTGACTTTAGGTGCTTGTCTAGTGCCTGCTTGAAGACAGCCGGGGTCTATTGGTAATCCCCCTTATGTATGCTGGGAGGCAGTTGAACAGTCTCGGGCCGGAAATTCAAAGCAAAATTTCGCAAAAAAAAAGTGTCTGAAACCCAAAAAATCCAGTGTATGTGAAATCCAGGGTTCTACTGTATATTCTGTCGTAGCCTCCACAGGGTATAGTGTAAACCCCGGGCATTGACGGGTTTTCATGGTGCTTCGATTTTGTCTTGGTTTTATCCCTCATGGAAGTGCTGGTTGTGATGGCGACTAGTGGTAGCTCACAAAAAATACTTTAGAAACATTCAGTGCAACCTGGCTGTTGGGAAGGATTATAATTTTTAGGAGTGGTGTTGGTGTGTAGAGAATTAATGATCTGAAGGGCTCCTTTCTTGCAGTCTTATGGAAAATGGAAGGAAAAATGTAGAACAGTGAAGGTTTGATGTATGTATTGTACACTCCTTGTAAAGAAACTCTGGACCACAAATTCAGTATGGTCTTGGGAAAAAATCCGATGATGATGTTTTCTTTTGGTCTTAGTACAGTATCTAGTGTCTAGGTTTCTGGTAAACTTGAAATCTTAGGTGTAATCTACTTTGTGAATGAGGACCATCTAGAAAAGGTAACTTGTCACTGGACTCTTCTAGTGTAAACTGGATAGCCAGTTCAACTGCATGAGTCTTGCCGGGTCAAGATATTAAGCCCAAAGAGGCATCAATTGGATTTTTCCTAAGACCATACTGAATTTTGTAGTCCAAGTTTCTTGATGAGTGTATATACAATGCAGGGGTTTACTCTATACCCTGTGGAGGCTGTGACAGAATGTATGCAGGTGAAACAGCAAGAAACCTCAAAAATACGTCTCAATGAACATTAATGCATGTAAGAACAATAACTTTAATAACACCTGCATACAATACCAGAATTTCACCAATCACCTCATGAAATTCAATGACGCCCGACTAATGATCAAAGAACTTAATTTTGAAGATGTAAATGCCTTGGATCATCATTAATCACTATTTCTAACACAATTAAGCAAAGCAAAGGCAGTTTCAACATCTCTGAAGTATTAGCAAGAATCCTCCTCAAAAAAATAAACCCTGCCATCACACATTTTGCTGCTGCTGATACTACATAAGAACATAAAAGAGGAGGAAACACAAATAGGCCTTCTCAAATCCAACCCACTAACAAAAATATTTGCTCAACCTATTTTAATGCTACCCAAGCAATAAGCTTCAATAACCTTTTTAACTCATGTACAAGTCGACTTTTACTGCCACATGAATTATTACTACCACTAGTATTACAACTACTACTTCTACAATGATTATACTGTGCTTTACACTTCATTCTAAGCCTATATATACCCTCAAAGCTCCTTGAGAGCAAAACGTTGCCACAATAAAATGTCACATTAGTTGCACTTGTGCCCTTTTACATATCGTCAGTAATTCTACCAACATTAATACAATCTTGATTATATTTTATTATCCAAGAAATAGGGTAAAACTTTGATTCTGAAAAGAGGAAAGGTTGCTTTAAGGGCTGGAATGAATACAGAGTTTTAGACTATTTTTAAGTTAGAATTTTTTGGCTAGTGTAAAATTGGCCAAATTACTAACTTTTGAGCACATTATAGGATAGTTCTAATAGTTGAATGGGCAGTTTCTTTTGCTTAATCGACAGAAAAGGCAATATACAGGGTTGTCCACAAAAAAACTCCCTGATTTCAAAAAAGGTATAACATGTAACTTTATTGTAATAATTTTCACAGTTAGTAGCTTCAAGATGCAGGATTTCATTCAGTTTTACGTGGTAAAGGCACTCAATGTGCGCCCAGCTTCTCCAGGGTTGCAGGTAGTAGTAGGACGTAAACTGTGCTTTTCACGTACCCCCAAAGGAAGAAGTCAGAAACAGGTCCGGTGACCTCCGCCCGGCCACTTGCAGAGGCCACTGGACCTGTTTGTGACTTCTTTCTTTGGAAAGGGATGTGAGAGCACAGTTCCCCATACCACCATTACCTGCAACCCTGGAGGAGTTGAAAAAATTTTGATCACTGAAGCAGTTTGCAAAGATAACACCAATATGCTGCAGAGCGTCTGGACCGAACAGGACTATCACATCGATGTTTTGCAGAAACCCGAGGGGCGCACAGTGAGTGCCTTTAATGCACCTTATACCACATGAAACTGAATGATATCCTGCATTTGAAGCTAATAACTGTGAAAGATTACAATAAAGTTGCATGTTTTACCCGTTTGAATCAGGAAGTGTTTTTGTGGACACCCTATATTAGGGAGATGGCTTAGAAATTGGGTAGAATTGAGCATTGAAATTTGGCTTAAAATAGGACTAAGGTGACAAATTGCCGATGTGTAAATTGTGCCCTGACCACCTGTTTTGGGACTTGCATAATTCTGCAAGCTTTTTCATCATATTTTGTTTTTTGGTGTCATTAACTTCAAAAAGATTCTCTATTATTTTTTGGTAAAAAATCACAACAATTTCGGGGTCACAACAGTTTAAAGGGTTAACAAGCTGAGAGGTTGTGACTGCTGCTAGGCTGGCTAATGTTGGTCCAAAGACTGCAATTTATTTTCCTTAAATTTTTTTTAGTCAGTCTTTTTTATTACACTTTCTAATGTTGCTCATGCTCTTTTATAAATATACAAGATATGCAGGTTTCTTATACACATTACTTGTCTTCTTCATCTCATTATTACCATTCAGAGATCTCTGCAGATCTAGGAAATGAACAAAATTAAGATGTGATTTTTTTAGTTAAGGTGCTACTTTTCTGTTGGGTGTTCCTCTGTATATAATCTTTATTTTTCCTACAACTCTTTTTGATCCTTTACTCCCAGCTGCATTTACACTCCTGAAAGTGACTCAAGGGTAAAAAGATAATGAATAATATTACACAGAAAACAATACTCACTGTAACAGGAGAACTCTTCTTGCTAGACACGTGGAAAAAGAGCGTGTCTTCTCCAGCTATTATGTAAGACACACCATAACCATCATCGGCAACAGGACCAAAGCCACCCCCAGCACTGATACATTTAGGGTTCTTTGTCAAATCCATTTTGGTAGTCTGACCATGTGGGGTCTGAGAGGTGCTGAGGCGCCATGGTTCTGATAACACCTCCTGAAATTACAAAAGAAACCATCTTTGTATAGTAACCTCTATTTACACTTGAGTAAATTCAGTGAATCAGAGCCTTTTAATTAATCTCATCTTTCCCCGAAAAACATACATAATTTACAATAATTTCTCACAAGAGCATCTTTTCCCACACTTTTTGTCAATAACTCATTGACATATTTATACCTTTTTTTAGCATTTGTATCTTTATAAAACAAAGATAAACAGCCTATGATGCAATAGTATGTGCTTGTTCTATGTGCAACTATTATATTCATGAGGAGGTGCTAAACCTGAAGGACCATGCTGTGCTTTGGTAACAGGAAGTAATCAGGACTGATCCAAAGGAAGCATATTTTAAATTTTTTTAATAAGAGCCCTTCACCTGCATCAAGAAACCCCCCTTCAAGAGATACACATGTGCAATATAAGGGGAAAATGATATAGAAAGAATGAAGAACACAGATACAAAACACGGGAAGATCATCTCAGAATGGAAGGAACATGTAAAACACCTGGGTGTAACAATGTCAGCTGACCTACCATTAAGAAAACACAATAGGGCAAAGGCTAGAAAAAATATGACAGGATGGAAAATGAGAACTTTCAAAACAAGAGAAATAATGCTAGTGGTGACACCATTCAAATAACTTATGCTCTCTCATTTAGAATATTTGTCAGTGCTGACAGCTCTGTTCAAGGCAGGAGATATGAGACCTGGAAGAGGAACGGAAATAGTTTACTGTCCACAGAGCCATTAAAGCATTTAAACTACTGGGAATGCCTCGGAGTACATTGAATGTACTCTCTCGAGTGAAGAAGAAATGCTTAATAATATATACCCAGTACATAAGAAATTTCTTTTCTGCAGTATACAGGTAATGTAGTTTACATGTAATAAAATACAGTTTGGCACAAAAGAAAGCCACTAACAATGTGGTGCTTAAGACTACCCAAGACTAGACATAAGTTATTAAGTACGAGTTTTTAACTGTACAAAAAAAGAGGTAACTAAATGAACAGTAGTACAATGTTAAGTATGCATTAATACTTCAAAGTGATTCAGTGATATTCAGTTAAGCATGATTTCTTAAGCAGTTTTCAATGTCTTCAGTTTATAGAACGAGTGAAAGAGATGAAGATACAGAAGTTAATTTGGTTAAGTAGAACTATAATGGAACAAGATGGGTAATTAATTTTCTATGGGAGTTTGAGGAAGAGTGGAAGACCAGGGATAAAAAATACTGGAGGGTCTAGTCTCAAACCTACAAACTACCATAACATTGTACAGCTAGCCCTCCACTTTCGCGAGTTCCAATTTCGCTAGCTTTGAACATTTGTGAATGCCCAGCCACCCAATCATATTTATCAAACAAATGTGGAAAAAAGTACGGGAAAATGCTTCCCATCACCACCTACTATTGACAGTGATGAGTTAGAATCCACACACTGGACTCATCATGCCATGCAGTTACACTCCATATAATCACCTCCATTCAACTGTCATCAGTAACTGCATGGATAACTATCATCACTCATCACCATCGTCACTGTCATCATTCACAAGTCGTCAGAGTTCATCTGCCTAACCTTACGAGTGGTGAGTGTTTTGTTTGTTCATTATTTGTTATCAAACCATAACATGAACGGTGGAACCTTGGCTTACGAACTTAATCCGTTCAGTGACCTTGTTCGTATCCTGATTTGTTCGTATACTGAGTCAATTTTCCTCATTTAAATTAATTGAAATGTGTGGTTATACCTGCCTAAGCTCTTGCGGGTTAGTGTGGGGTGTTCCCAAGCACCATGGCTTGTTGTAGTGTTTTAGAATCTCAGGTTCAAGTGTTGAAGGAGGAGGTTCTACTTCTTCAGGAGGAAAATAGGAGGCTGAGTGAATGTGAGATGGATTTAGCTGGTAAGGAGGAAATGGTCACCAGCAGTGAGAGTGGCAGCCACTTTAACCCTTAAATGGCCCAAACGTATATATACGTTTTTTTCAACATCTGAAAGTATGTAAAAAAATATAGATCATCTTTCTTGTTTTACATTTGAAAACGTGTAAAAAAAACTTTTATCTACATTTTTTTTTTATATTTGAAAATATGTAAAAAAAAGTAGATCTACTTTTGTAGCACTACGAATTTGAACGTCGATCTGTTTGGGCCGTTTAAGGGTTAAGTGGCAAGTGGTTCACAGTTCAGGAAAAAGGAAGATAAGGAGGGTTAATAGAGAAGATGTGAAGGTAGGAAATTGATTCTCTGTTCTCCTGGACGAGTGCACTTAAGCGGTTAGTGAGGCTGAAGGTACCACTGATTCCCCTGCTAATCAAGGTGAGAATATTATAATTGTAGGAGATTCTCAGGTAAGATATATGGACTGTGCTTTTTGTAACAGAGATAGAAAGGTCAGACAGAGTGTGTGCCTCCCACGAGCTGGTGTTGGTGACATAGTCAGCAGGTTGGATATTATGATGTCAGGTAATGGAAACAAGCCTATTATCTGTCTTAGTGCTGGGGGTAATGACATTAGGAAGGGCAGGAGACAGGAGCTGCTGGATAAGTACAGGTCAGCCATAGAAGTAGTCAGGTTTAAGGGAGGGATCCCAGTTATATGTAGCATCTTGCCTAGAAAGGGAGTGGGCAATGAATGGATGTCTAAGGCAATTGGTATAAATTGCTGGCTAGACAGGTACTGCAAGGAACTTGCAATCCCATTCATTGATAACTGGGACATATTCTATGGCAAATGTGATATGTATGCAAAGGATGGGGTTCATCTCTCTGGGGCTGAAGTGGTTGCAATAGCCAATTTGATTGAGGGGGTTATTGGTGAAAAGTCTAGGACTTTAAACTGATAGATTATGGAGGTATGGGTGTCTGTGGGAAACAATCAGGCTGCAGTACTAGGGTTGAAAACAGCAGATATAACCAGGATACCTCAGGGATATGTTTAAAAGACAATATTCAAAATAAAGTTGCTAGTAAAGGCAAATCAACTGATAAACAAAGAGATAGTAGAGGGCAACGCATGACTAACTCCCTTACGGTTTACTATACAAATAGTAGGAGTCTAAGAAATAAGATAAATGAGCTAAGATTACTAGCAAGCACAGGTAATATAGATATTATTGGTATAACAGAGACCTGGTTCAACCTGAAAGATAGAGAAATGCCTTCTGAATGCAACATACAGGGTTATAAACTATTCCACACTGATAGGGTCAACAGGAAGGGTGGTGGAGTGGCAATGTATGTCAGAGATAATTTAAATTGTCTTAGACATGATATAAGATTAGAAACATTGGACACAGAATCTGTTTGGCTACAGTTTCTCGAGGGTCGTGACAAATTAATTTTGGGTGTGATTTATAGGCCCCTAAACCTTGATAGGGAGTGCAGAAAGCTGTTATGGGACGAAATTCATTAGGCATCTAGATATGATAATGTTGTGGTAATGGGAGTTTTTAAAACTTTAGACAAATTGATTGGAAACAATACGACAGGAAATCTCGAGTCTAGTGACTTTCTTGATACAGTTCGGGATTGCTTTTTAGAACAGTTTGTGACAGAACCAAGAAAGAGGAAACAATCTGCTTGACTTGGTTCTTGCCAATAAAGAATTTACTAATTAATAATCTTGAGGTTAATGATGAGCTTGGGAAAGTGATCACAAATCACTTAGTTTCAATATATCATGGAATTACCCAGATAACTGCAACAAATCTCTGTCCCTGACTTTCGCTTGGCCGATTTCATGAGACTGAGAAATTACCTGGGTGGTCTAAACATCATATTAGCAGCCAAATCCCTCCCTGACTCTGGTCAGGGAGGTGATCTTGGCTGCCAACATGACATTTTTCAGAGCAAGTTCAAAGCTGCCCAGACAACTTTTGTTCTGAGTGGGGAAAATTTAAAATCTAACAAAAATGATCCCAAATGGATGAACAATAGATAAAAATATCTCATTGGTCAAAAGAGGATAAAAAGGCATATCAAAAGGGGAGATGGGCAGTTAAGAAATAAAATATATTTCAATTAAAGAGAAATAAAAACAGGAATAAGAAAAGCAAAAAGGGATTATGAGGCTAAGGTCGAAAGGGATTCGAAGACTAACCCAAAAGGGCCTTCTTCGGGTATAGTGAGGTAAGATTAGAGACAAGATAGGCCCACTTACCACTGACAGTGATAAGGAATATGTATGAAATTTTAAATACTTACTTCCTCTCAGTTTTTAACCCAGGAAAATACTAGCAAAATTTCCTGAAATAATAGATTACTAGAACAGGACAATAATAAACTATGCACGACTGTTGTAACGTGACAGGGGTCCTCAGACAAAGAGAAATTAAAACCTAACAAATCCCCAGGCCCTGATGAACGTTTTGCAAGGGGTTAAAGGAACGTAAAGAGGAACTTAGCATACCCTTGGCTAATCTTTTCAACATATCACTAACAAATTGGCAAAGTGCCTGAATAAGTGGAAAATGGCAAATGTAATACCAAATTTAAAAGGGCAGGTGACAGGTCCTTGGCTTCGAACTATAAACCAATAAGCCTTACCTCCATAGTGGGAAAATTTATGGAATCAATAATTGCCGAGGCAATTCGAGCCATCTTGAAAGGCATAAATTGATATAGAATCTCAACACGGTTTACAAAGGGACGTTCCTGTCTTACAAATTTACTAACTTTTTTTCACTAAAGTGTTTGAGGAGGTAGATCATGGTAATGAATATGATATTGTGTATATGGACTTCAGTAAGGCTTTTCGATAGTTCCACACAGAGGCTATTGAGGAAACTTAAGGCACACAGAATAGGAGGAGAAATTTTTTCCTGGGTAGAGGCATAGCTGACAAATAGGGAGCAGAGAGTTGCATAAACGGGGAGAAATCAGAATGGGGGCACATCACAAGCGGTGTTCCACAGGGTCAGTGTTTTGGGGCCCCTTGTTGTTCAAAAATTTACATAAACAACATAGATGAGGAATAAATAGCGACGACCG